CCAGGTCCTTCCTCAATCGTCCTCATATCCTCCACCAGGCTATGCGAGCTGGCCAGCGCTAATTCCATCATCCACTGAACATCCTTACCGCCCCAGGGATCCTCTTCTTTGAAGGGTTTGAGGACTAGCTCAGTCCTCTTTTCATATCCGCTCGGCGCTTGCCAAATAGGATAGCCTACACAGCTGGGCACTCGCGGCGACCACTTATTGATATGGAGACGAACATCTTCTTCCTGATCCAAATCCATCAACTGGGGGCGTATTCTCCACCACCTCCCCTTTCTGCTTATCCCAGTTGATCTGACTCAGCCCGTCTGCCCGGTTCTTACTACCAGGAATCCATTCTAATTCGAAATTGAACATCCAGATGTACGTCAGCCATCTGGCAATCGTCGGATCCGATGGAACGTAATTCCTTAGAGAGTACACCAGGGCGGTTGGATCCACTCTCAAAATAAATCTCCTGCCGAAGACATAGTTCCGGAAGATTCGCAGACTGTGGAGGACAGCAAGGGTCTCCCTCTTGAACTGAGAGCAGTTCCTCTCTGTCGTACTGAGAGTCCGGCTCTCAAATCGCAAGGGCTTTTCCTTTCCTTCCATGTCTGCCTGTATTAGAACTCCCCCTAAGGCAGTCGGTCCCGCATCCGTTTCGACAATGAAGGGTTGCGTCTCTATGGCGTCATAATCTGGCGCTCCTAACACCAACCCTCCTTCTCGGAATTCCTCTTTCATTTTTGCCACCACCTCTTCTTGTTCCTCACCCCATACCCATTCCTGATCCTGACAGACTAACTTCCTCAGGTGTTCAGTCTTAGCGGCAAAGTTTTTGACGAAGGCCCTCCAAAATCCACACGTACCAAGGAAGCTCCTGACATCAGTTATTGAGTAGAACGGAACTGGCCACTCAGTAATCTTGTCCGTCTTCTTCACATCTGGCCTTCGGCCCTTCTCATTGCAGACGATCCCTAAGATAGTCGCTTCCCTCATGCAGTGTCTGGATTTGGCCCCACTTGCCGTGAGGTTATGCTCTTCGAGTAGGCTCTGGACCTTTTCGAGGTCCTGGATGTGTTTCCAGACAAAGCGTCTTACCCCTGGTGAGACTTCGTCGCTCTCTTTCATCGCCGGCCCCCTCACTGCCAAATCGTCAATGTATGGCTGTGTGATATGGGGGCTGACTGACTGCATGGCCCGAATCATGGCCCGTTGGACCATTGCTACTACGTTGGTCCACCCTTGTGGGGCCACGTTCATGTGGACTAATCCTCGCGGCGTGTGCATACCTGTCACCGGCCTATCCGGCGGGTAGACTGGGAACTGATCGTATCCTGAGTAAAGGTCTATAAGCGAAATTATAGGCCTTCCAGCACAGAATTCCGACAGCGCGTCTGCATTCRGCAGTCCTCCAGCATCTCGCACGGTCACTGCATTCAATCTTTGTAAATCCTGCACCCACCGCAGCGTCCCGTTAAGCTTAATAAAGCAGAACCACGGGGACGCATACGGTCCACTTGAATAGTCGGCGACGTGAGTACGTATCTTGCCGTCGAGATAATCCACCACCTCCCTTTCCTCGTCAGGATTGGGATATCGCGCCCCTCTCATGTTCCAAGGCTTGTGTGGCACGGTGTGGATGCGGATCATAGGTATCTTATCTACATCCAGCCTGCCACGCTCCTCGTCACTAAACGCGTAGG